AATTCACCTATATTAGGGCTGGTCTGTATCAGTGGCTCTTATAAAGTAATTCATCATCTCTAGTGTGCTGGACAGCAAAGGGTTACTGCAGTCCTCTTTTCTTTCTGTGAGGCTTTTCAGCTCATTAATTTTGAATACCACCATTGGCTCAGCACTTTCCTTATGTGCATTTTATCTTCTGCTTCTTAGATAAACATTTTTTATTATTTTGGGAGATAAGCTTTGGGCTTCTTGGGGAGAGACTAATAATTTGCTGGAAACCAGGTAACCATTTTAAATATGGAGATATTCTTTTAAAACTTTTTTTTTGTGGTAGTAGGGATTGAACTCAGGATCTTGCACTTGCTAGGCAAGCACTTATTCTACTGAGCTATCTCCCTGGCCCTAAAACCTCTTAAAACAACAACAACAACAACAACAACAACAACAACAACAACAACAACACCTCTTCTAAGGAAGAAGAATTTATGCTGATGAATTCAATCATAATTCAATGATCTCATTTTAGGAAATTTTCCTCACTTTTCTTTAGTAGTTATAATAAACAGGAAGCTGGCATAATTACTGGGAAAAGATTTCTTGTGAAAATTTTTAAAGAATTTCATTTTCCTTGTGTTGTGTTTATCTATGTGAGAGAGATGTTCATTCACCTTTGAGGAATTAGAAATAATGATTAATTCTTTGTGTAGGCTGGGGATTAAACCCCCAAGCCTCACACATACTAGGGGCATGGTCTACCAATGAACTATACTCCAGCATGTCACTGCTGTTTGAATTTTTTCAAAAGGAAAAATGGCTTTTTCCCATCTTGCAAGATGGCAGGTGAAAAAACAGAAGCAAGACATTAAAGATTTTTTTTTTTGGCTGGCTCAGGCTGACTTAAGGGATGCTCTGGTAAGAGAGGTATGAACTGAGTCTGACTGCATTTGCATGAGCAAGTGCTTGAACGAGTGAGCTAATGGGCAGGCCCCCTGCTAGACACTAAAGAGAAGAAGCCCAAAGCCAAGAAGGCCGCTGCCAGTGGCACTGATAAAAAGGGTAAGATAAAGGCAAAAAAGTCTAAGAAGGGGCAGCCCCACTGCAGCCGAAATCCTGTCCTGGTTAGAGGAATTGGTAGATACTCCTGATCTGCTATGTATTCAGAAAAGCTTTGTACAAGAGAAAGTACACAGCTGCTAAATTGAAGGATCAGAAGAAAAAGGAGAAAGTTTTTGCTATGATTACAAAACCAGTCGGTGGGGATCAGAATGGAGGTACCTGGGTAGTTAAGCTTCGAAAAATGCCTAAATACTACCCTACTGAAGATGTGCCCTGAAAGCTCTTGAGCCACAGCAAGAAACCCTTCAGTCAGCATGAGGAAACTTCAAGCTAGCATCACTCCCGGCACCATCTTGATGATCCTCACTGGGCGTCACAGAGGCAAGAGAGTGGTCTTCTTGAGGCAGTTGGCCAGTGGCTTGCTACTTGTGACTGGGCCTCCTAGCCTTAATCGTGTTCCTCTATGAAGAACACACAAGAAATCTGTCATTTCTACCTACATGAAAGTTGATATCAGCAAAGTGAAAATCCCCAAATACCTCATTGATGCTTACTTCAAGAAAAAGAAGCTGCTGAAGCCCAGACCTCAGGAGGGCGAGATTTTTTTTTTTTTTTTTTTGAGAGTGAGAACTTTGACACCGAGAAAGAGAGATACCAGATTTCAGATCAGTGCAAGGTGGATCAGAAAGCGATGGACTCACAGATTTTCATAAAAATCAAAGCTGTTCCTCAGCTCCGGGGCTACCTCCAATCCTTTGCTCTGACAAATGGAATTTATCCTAATAAATTAGTGTTCTAAATTTCTAAGATACTAATTAAATTAATGATGCATTTTTTAAAAAAGGAGAAATGAAGGGGTTGGGAGATGGCTCAGTAGAATAAACGCTTGCCTGGCAAGCACACAGGCAGGAGTTCAATCCCCGGTTCCGCCACCAAAAAAAAGGAGAAATGAAAAGTAAGGAATAATATTGCAACATGTAATTCATGAATTTTTTTTTTTAATCACACTAGGATTGAATAGGGCCTCAGATAAGAGCTACATCCCTAGTCCTTTTTTTGGGCACAAGGACTTAGTGGCTAAATTGCCCAGTCAAACCTGCAATTCTCTTGCTTCAGTCACCTAGAATGCTAGGATAACAGTCATGCACCACCATGCTTGGCATGAGTAACAATTTTATTGGTATTTTAAACTCCACATTCAGGAATTATGGAATACCATGTGGTAGAGCACATGGGAGGCTCTGCATCCCATCCCCAGCACCAGCACACACACACACACACACACACACACACACACACACACACACCAAAACAAAACCATCTACACTCTAATCAGGTAAAGGGACAAAGAGAAAAAAAAAATCTAGTTAACTTGTACTCACCAGCAGGAAATGAAATAGATTAGGCAAGAGGATCCACTTGTTTCATGACATACAAATGAGAAAAAGCCAGATCATTTTGAAAGTTGTTCTTTATAAGACCTGCTTTTACTCAAAACTGACATGTTATTCAGGGCTCATGTTCACAAATAACAGAAACGGACTCATCCACAGATATACTGGAAGGAGATTAGCTCATAGGATCAATGTATATTTTACTACAACTACAATCAAAATTACTAAAGAAAGTTGGGGCAGGAGTGGAGATGGGGCAGAGGCAGAAGGATTGTTTGTTCAAGACCAGCCTGGAATACAGAGTGAGACCCTGTGTGTTTGGGGGTGGGGGAGGTATGACCCCACTTTCAATATATTTACAATTGCAAAGGGCAAAACATAGTATCCTACCCTCTGAACACTCCAGTCAGACATAGGTGTATTTTGAATAAGTAGCTTGACAGTTGTTACCTCATACATGTAAATTAGCATAGTTGTATTGGGCCACCAATGGTTATTTTTTCTTTTAATGTATTCACTCAACAAATATTTATTTTTATGTATTTAGTACAGGGTCTCACTACACAGCTCGGACTCCTAGTGATACTCCTGTTTTCAGCCTCCGTAATCCCTGGGATTACAAGGGGCGCCATCACACCCATTCTCAATCGCTTTTTTAGTGCGCCCCTGGGGCGGACCGGCACAGCACTCTGGGGCTTGAACCCGGGTCCCTGCATCTGCCTAAGCAGGTGCACTGAGCTATTTGGCCAGGCTTTCAACAAATATTTAGAAAGCACCTAATTACTAAACGCTTTGGACTCACCAGGGTGCAACACAGGCCAAAGAGTCCAGTTTTTACTTCCACAGGTGCGATGAGGGGCAGTATGGACACAGAACAAAACTCCTAGAATTCAGAATTCAGGCCCTGCAGTGAGGCTCGTGAGGTGAGAACGCCTCCCCCGCCCAACTGGGAATTGAACTCAGGACCTTCCGCTTGCCAGGCAGGCGCTTATTCTACTGAACTATCTTCCCAGCCCTGAGAACAGCTTTACTCAGGGCCTTCTACTGGCAGAACACAATTTTGGAATCCTTTGTCTTAAAGGATCAAAGTGTTAACACTTTAATTCCTCAGGAAGAGGCTGCATCCAAGAGAAGTGTTAGTGTGCTGACTATGCAGTTCCGGCTGGTCTTGTGCTCACTTTTGTAGCCTCAGGGCTAACAGAGATCCTCCTGGCTCAGCCTCCTGACTGCTGAGATTAGAGGTGTGCACCGCTACACACTGGGGCTGCACGGTGGGCAGCCACATCCTGGGCCTAGCAGCATGGAATGTGGAGCCAGGGATCGAACTGGGGTCCTTGTGCTTGCCAGGTAGGTGCTTATGCCTCTGAGCTATTTCTCCAGCCCCTGACTCCTTTTCTTTCTTTCTTTTGTTTTCTTTTTGGCGGAACCAGAGATTGAACGCAGGGTCTTGCATTTGCCAGGCAAGCACTTATTCTACTGAGCCATCTCCCTAGCCTTCCTTCTTTTCCTTCCTTTCTTCCTTCCTACCTTCCTTCCTCCCTCCCTTCCTTTCTTTCCTTTTTCTCCTCCTCCCCTCCCCTCCCCTCCAATTTGATTCAAGTCTAATGTGGCTGGGCTACTTGCGATTTATAATTCTGGCAGATAAAACGGACACAGTGTCCCTTTCCAGTCCAGACTGACAGCTTCACTGCTTCGTGTACTTCTCTTTAATGCCTACGCCAACCTCCCTAAAGCCAGAAGTGGAAAAATGCTTCAGCAGCGTCGCAAGGAGCATCCCCTGCCGCCAGCTGTATCGGGGTCCCACTAGACAGCTGCCCACCATTGAGGCGTGAAAAGGGACTTTTATCAGCAGAGGAACTGAGAAAGTGGTCATTTTTTTTTACTGGGGAAAATATATATTTTTATTTTGAAAGTGGTCATTTTCGACAAAGTGCATTTAGCATATTTAACAGCAAAGAAGACGGGCACACAATCCGGACGTCCCTAAAGAAACGCAGCGCTTCAGGGCGGAGGACAGTTAGGTTTGCGACTGCAGCGGCGTCTGGACTTCCGGTCTTCTTGCTGCTGGTCTGGTGGGGGCTGGTCCCACAGAGAGAAGGGGCCATAGTAAGGCCTAGACTGGGTTCCCTCACAAATTAGTTACGCCAAAGAATCCGGAGGCCCGGCCGAGCCGAGCGGAGCCGAGCGGAGCGGAGCCGAGCCAAGCCGAACATAGCCGAATATAGCCGACCCGAGCCGAACACAGCCGAGCCGAACCGAGCACAGCCTAGCCGAGCCAAACATAGCCGAGCCGAACCGAGCACAGCCGAGCCGAACCGAGCATAGCCGAGCCGAACCGAGCACAGCCGAGCCGAGCCACCTCACCGCCTAAGAATGCCACCCTCCCCCTTCAATCGGCCGCCAGCGAGGCGGAGACGGCCGTTACGGGAGAGAAGTAGCATCTTCGCGCGAGACTAGCCACGCGACTTCCCAGAAAGCCTCAGGCAACATATTACTAGCAGCTGAGGGGTCGGACTGGGGCGGAAGAGTGGGCGGGGCCTACCGAGCTATTTAGCGGCACCCCAGGCCACGCCCTAAGTCGGAAGTGACGGAGGCGAGCTATCGCGTCGGAGCTACCTCTATGGTTTTCCTCTCGTTCTTGAGTCGGGAAATGGCCGCTGTGTAGTTACGACGGAGCTTAGTCCCGGGAACTGCAGTTCATCGTGTCAGGTAGGCCTTGCGCTATATTCAGGTCACTCAAAGAACTGAATAATGAGGACTCGTGAATATTGTGACTCTTGTGGGTGGTGACGGGTCGGTGTCGATAAGAGAATCCAGGAGGTGTTGTGCCGTTATTTGTGCGTTTTTGTGTCAGCTTTTCTGAGCTTTCCGAGATTTCACCACGGGCGGAGGAGGTGGGGGATGGGACAAGCCTTGCGAACGGCGCGCGCGCGGCTGCGAGCCTGGCTCCACAGCCGGGGACCGCGCGCCTCTCTCGCGCTTGCGCAGACCTCTCTCGTCTGCCCTGCCCCCATTTTCAGCGGGGGCCTTGGCGCGCTCCCGACTGTACGCTCTGCGCACGCGCGCTCCTTTTTCCCTCTTCCTCTCCTAGGCTGGCTGCGGGCTCCCAGCGAGGTCTCTTTTGTGCTCGCCTCTTGCCTATTTTTGGCTATCTTCGTTCCCAGTCTTTGGGGCTTTGGTAAACTCAACTGCAGCAGATTGTACTGGGTAGGTTGACTCCCTTTTTCCTCTTTAAAACTACTTTGCGCAGCTGCGCGCAACCTAAAGGTTTAGGCCTCATTTTTGTTAGCTTGAGGATCCTGCAGTCCTTTGTAGCTGACTCCACCCCTCGTGTCGCCTGAAAGTTTTTCTCCCGGGCTCAGCATTTCCGTCCCCCCCCTCCCAACCTGTTTCAAAACGAACTTGAAAGTCGACTCCAGCGGTTGGTGCCTTGCTTCTGTTTCCAAGCGTGGGGAACAGTTTTTGCCCTGAACGGGCCGGCTCTGGCCTGAAAGAGCACTTTTCTAATAATGCGAACGAAGTCGTGGATTTTCTGCGAGTGACTCAGTTACATTGTGCAAAAAAAGTTCCAGCCAAGATGGGTGGGTGTACAGCTAGTAGGGCAAATGGTTGAGAGTGGTGAGTTGAGGTTATGGATTTAGCTTTCGTTTTAAACCCATAAGTTGGCCCCTCCGTCCCAAGATTGAACTCGGCGGCTGTGTACCGCCTTGCCCTTTCCATTTTTGAATAATTTTGAGACAGTATCTTGAGTTGTTTCGGAGTAGTTGAATTCACTGCTGAAATCCACCTCGCTTTAAGTTTTATCTCGTCAGGGTCAACCGGCAACAACTTTACCCTTTAAATTTTTTTTTAAAGTTTTTCAAAACTGAAAAGTTAAAGCACATTGGTTAAGTGGATGAAAAATTGATTAGCTACTTTAAGACCTGTGGATCAGTTGTCACAGTCTTTGCAATATTCATATGAAAAAGAAAAATTCTATTTTCTTAGTGTGGGCTCTCATTTTTTATTTTAGTCGGAAAGCTTAGGTTACTGTTCAGGGTGCTGCGTTGCAAAAACTGCAAGTTTATGTGCGTTTTGGTGTGATCCTAATCAATTCAGGGTAATTTGATGAGTAGTGTCTAAAGTAGCTTATGGTAAACAAAGACTATGTAGTGATGGGTTGTAGCATTTTTTTTTTTTTAAATCTGTTTACTTAATTTCATATGGGTCTCGTTATTCAACTAGGACTCCTAGAGATCCTCCTGTCTCAGCCTCTCCATTGCTAGGATTACAGGCGTTCACTACCATGCTCGTTTCGGTGGCTCGCATGGTGTGCCTGTGGTTTCAAGGCCGGCACGGCATTCGTGCCTGGGAAATGGCCAGGGATCCAACCTGGGTCCTTATGTGTGCCAGGGAGGCGCCGACCACTACAGGTCTTTCACGTTGTTACTTTGAGGTGTACCCAGGATTTCAGCTTAATTTTGATAATTAAAATAAGAGCTAAGAGGCTCTTTGGCTAGAGCTGGATGGATTTTGAATAGTATATTAGGACATGACTATGGATTTCTAATTAATAGAGCTACTTGAATTTATTGACTATGTGGGCAACAAGTTATAGTAGATTAACTGTGATGAGAAGTTTTGCAGATTTTATTTATTTTATTTTTATGTATTTAGTACAGAGTCTACAGGGTCTCACCACACAGGTCAGGCTTGTGGTGATCCTCCTGTTTTTAACCCTCCAAGCTCTGGGATTACAGCAGGAGCCACCACACCCAGTCTCAGTGTGCTCCCAGGGCAAGGCGGGCTCAGCTTGACGAGGTCCCTGGTTTGCCTAAGCAGGTGCTTAATTTTTTTACACTTATGCATAGATCCTGGAGAGTCCCAGAAACTTTCAAAGCCATCAGTTGAACAAATTATTTTGAATTTCACAGTGTTTTGTTGTTTAACAGATAAGTAGATGAGGAAATCAAGAAGAGTATCCTATCTCTGGGCAGTAAATGTTGAAGTTATAGTTATGGGTTCATTATTTGACATCAGTTTTTTGACTGTTCTTAAGACTGAAAGACAGGCAGCCTATCGATACTAAGGTGGTAATACTGGCCTATATTTGTGATATGTTTTGAAATTATCAAGTACATCAATTTCATTTGACCCAGTATTTTTCTATTTCTAGATGGAGGCCAAGAAGTTAGGAAGTTTAAGGCCACATAAACAAAGGGAATGGCACAGCTTGGTATTCTTATTTTAAAATTTTTTTAATTTTAATTTTTTAAAGGACAAAATAGTATTACAATAGAAAAATTACAAATGATAGTTTCACTAAACAAAATAATATGAATTTCACTGTTGCATAATATTGTCTTCAAATCAACAACTTGGTGTTCTGATTTGCATTTCTAAGGTCTTTGTGCAAGGTGACAACAAGCTGGTCTAAGAATTAAAAAATTATAACTAATCACTCAAGTTTTTAATTAGATTTTTTTTTTTTTCAAGAACGAAAATGTAAAGTGCTAGGTGGGGTTGTGCACACCTGCAGTGCCAGCAGTTGCCTGTAATCCCAGTAGTTGAGGCAGAGATTTTTGGATTTAATAACCATAGCTGGTCTTCCCCCACCCCCCCCTTAAGATAGGGTCTAGTGTATGCAGGCTTACCTTGAGCTCACTGTGTAGCTCAGGCTGTCTGTGAACTCAAAGGATCCTGCCTCAAAAACCTCTCAAATTTTTTGATTTTAGGTGTGTGCCAAGCCCAGTTTTGCTAATTTTGTTTAAAAGTGTTGCTTTTTTTGTAGGGTACTATATATTTTTATTTTATTTTTTAAAATTTATGTATTTGGCACAGGGTCTCACTGTGCAGCTTGGACTGGTTAATGATCATCCTGTTTTCAGCCTCCACAGTAATGGGATTACAGGCTTTCACTACCAGGGGCAGGACTGGCACAGCATGCAATCTGGGGTTTGAACCTTGGTCACTGCACTTGGACTCGAACCTTAGTCACTGCCCTTGTGCTTAGTTCGAGTACTATATATTTAAAAGTAGAATTCCAGAGGTTATTTACTTATTTATTTAGATAGGTCCTAACTGCTGGGGCAGGCTGGCCTTGAGCTCAGTGTATAGCTTGTGCTGGTCTCCAACCTCAAAGATCTTCAGACTCCTGCCTCAGCCTTAGTGCTGGGATTATTGGTATACCTGGCTAAAATTCCAGAGATCTTAGTAAGCATTTCTGAAAAGACATACATAATGATGATTAATGCTATTCTGACAAGAGTAAGCATACATACAGAATTATTTTGAAGTAAACTTAATGGATAGCTTTTAGAAAAACTCACAAACAAGTTCTACAATAACGGAAGTTATTGCTTAAGTAGTGTGTACCATATGCCAGACAGCCAGCTTTTTTACGTTCCTTATTTTTAAGTACCATTACCAACCACCTTCATTTTCATACCTGCAGAAATAGAAACTGAAAGAGATTAAGTAATTTGTCTACTGTTAGATTTCCAGGTATAAGGTCATCCATAATTTTAAGTTGATCACTGGGTATTCTTTTAAGCCTTTTAGAAGATGTGACTAACAAGTTGCTTTTTTTCTTTTTGTTTGCCTTTTTGAGACGGGGCTCATGAACAGTGCTATGTGTTTTATAGGAATCTTTGGCCCAGACTCCTTGAGTATGATGCAATGAAGACTTGGCGCAAATATTTTTGAAATAGTAAAACCTAACAAAATGTATTTTTGAGGCGCACTTAAAGGCTGAGGCAGAAAGATGTCAAGTGGGAGCCCAGACTGGAACTTGGTGACAGAGCAAGAGCCTGTCTCAACAAAAGAGATCTTGTCTGATGTGCAGTGCCTGTACTTCCAATACTCAGAAGGCCAAGGCAGGAGGATTCCTTCAAGTTCTAGGCCAGCCGGGGCTATAAAGTGAGTTCAGGACCACCCTTGAACTGCACATGAAACCTGATCTTGAAAGAAAACAAGATCTGGGCCAGGGAAATCGCTCAGTAGAATAAGCGCCTCTCTGGCAAGTGCAAGGGCCTGAATTCAATCCCTGGTTCAGCCAAAAAAAAAAAAAAAAAAAAGAGAGAGAGAGAGAGAACAAGATCAGGGAATATAGTTTGGTATGAGGGGCCCTGACTTCAGTCTTTAAGTAGAGGAGGGGAAAAATATTTTGTGGTTACTTTATCTTGGGTACTGTAGGTTCTTTAATCTTGCATGTTCTCGCTACTCATTACATAGTCCATAAAAGACAAGCTGTTTTAGATACTTATTTTTAAAACTTTTTAAAATCAAGGTTAATTTATTCTGTGTTCCTCACTGGCTGTTGGTAAATCATGAATAAAGAGTCATGAGGCAGATTACTATATTTCTTTACAATTGGAATGTATTAATAATAATTTTGTAATAAAGGGAAGGTTTGGTATTTTGAATTCTATACTTGAGTTTTGGCCACATTAATGTACTGTTAGGATATTGGAGCGATCACTGTTGGGTTCAGGAAATCACAAATTCTGGAGTATTTACACTCTGTACTTTTGGCCCGTCAAAGGGCAAACAAACACATTTCTTGTCCTTGTCTGCCCCTGTGCTAACCTTGCACTTTTCCTAGAAGAGCCCAGAACTTAAAATGTAGGAATTTTCTTGTTTTTTTGTTCCTTATCTAATGTTCCATATCCTTAATAATATATGAGGAGGTCATGTTGACAAAAACAAAACAAAATCCTGAGTTTACCTCATTTGTGTGATTCTGCCACTTTATCCAGGCATCTCTAATTTGTCTCGTTGCTCTCCTTCCCATGCTCTTTGTCCTGTGCAAGCAATCATGTTAAAGTTTAAGTCAGATGATATTACTATGCTAATCAAACTTTTTAGGAATCTTCCATTAGTAGGAGTAAAACTCAGACTTATCACTGTAGCCTTCTAGATTATATTTTGGTCTTGTGTAGCCTTTCTTTTCCTACATTGTATTCTCAACTCCTTGAGTACAGTACCTCAATTTTCTACTACTTTTTCTGTCCTGAATTTGCAAAGCTTTGTATTCTTTGCCTAGAATGCTGTTCCTTTTGAATCTTTGGCATGTTGTTTTAGTTTGTGACTTCTTTTAAAGAGGACCCCAGGACCTACCTTAGGTAAGTTGCCCTCTTGATCATTCCTCCAGGTGCATCATTTTGTGATTTTCTCCTCTGCCATGTAGCACTTAGTCACTATTTGGTATTTTCTGCCCTCCCCTCCCTGGAAGCTCCAAGTGTAAATAATTCTGAGACACCTTTTACGATTTATTTTCATAAGTATCTTTTTGTTGCTGCTTCAGTGTCCTGAATTAAAACATTATAGCAATTTCTGTCAAAACGTAACAGACAGTTGCTGTCAAATAAAAACATTATTTTGGGTCTTCATTTACCTTATTCACCAGATCTGGCACTATCTTATGTTTGACTCTTTCCCAAAATCAGAATAACATTAAGAGGTGAATATTTTGAATTAAGTACCTCAAGGTAGCCTAGGATAGTACAACTGAAGACACTCATGAAAGGATTTGGAGAACTGTTTTAGAAAGTGGCAAGAAAGATGGGTTGAGTGTGTTCAAAGGGGGAGTTTTCAGTGGAATTACTGGGAGTATGTCTTTTATTGTAATACATCTTTTCAAAAATTTGAACATCCACTATTTTTGATAGTACTATACTTGAATATATTGTAGACTAGATAATATATAGCTGTGGGTTCAGCAACCTACCGTGTAAGATTTCTGTTTCTGGTGTGTACATTCTTAGAACTACAGTAAACTGTCACTTCACATAAAGAGACTTGACAGTTGATTATCTCCAGATGTATAGAAGTTAAAATTTGGGGGACTGGGAAGATGGCCTAGTAGAATAAGCACTTGCCTGGTTAGCACGAGGGCCTTAGTTCAATCCCCGGTTCCCCCCCCCCCCCAAAAAAAAAGTTGTAATTGGCCTTTTTGAATTGTTAGGGGCTGTTTGCTGCAATGATCCTTGTATTGCTTTCAGGGGTGAAATCAGTGACATCATTGCCTTCTATCTAAGTTAGAATAAAGTTTGTAACAGTACAGTAATTTAGAAGATTAGCTTTTTTTCTCTGCCCTTTTGATACTATAAATAACTAAACTTGAGTATACTTTAGGAAACTTTCTATATCCAGGTCTACTTGGCTTTTGATTTTGCTGCTTTTTACTTTTATACAGATTAGCTAAGATTTACTATATTCCTACTTTTTCCTGGACTTAACCTTGGATGGAATGTTTTTAGTTTTTTTGAGGCTGATCTGGGTATTTGTTCAACAGAGGGCTGGAACTCAAGATCCTCTGCCTCAGCCTCCAGAGAGCTGGATTTACAGGCAGTGTGCCAACACTCGTAGCTTTAACTGCAGTTATCTTAACCTCCCTATTTTTAGGTCCATGGTTACTTTTCTTAATAGACTAAATTATTTGTATTCCCATTATTACATTTTTCTTCTCTCCTGCCCTTTCTGCCCCTTCCCCATTCCTTTGCTCCCTCCCTCCTTTTCTCTCTCCCTCTCTCCTCACTTCTCTCTCTTCTCCTCTCCTCCCTCCAGTTCAGGCAGACTGGCCTTGAACACATAACCCAGACTGGCCTTGAAGTCACAGCAGTCTGCCTTAGCCTTCCTGGTGCTGGGACCATCATGCTTGGCCTGCATTTTTAATTCTTCGTGGACATACATTAAGTTTATGTTTTCTAATTTAAGTCCTGCTTCCCTCATGGTTTTTGACCATCTTTTATATGTAATGAATAATGAATATTTACAAAGCTGATTTTCAGTGTTGATAACTGCTTAGTATTTTGAACCAAATTTATACACACTAATGGTTAATTACATGGGAAGAGTACTGACTTTCAGAAGATGTTTCATTGCCTACTGTTACTTCAGTATGTCTGTCTGTCTGTCTGTCTCTATATAAAAATGCTTTTAGGCACATGGTTTAGAGTTACTGTTATGGCTGTTATATCACGTTAAGTCAGTTTTTAGATGAAACTATGAAAGCAAATGGTGTTAGAATAAGTAGCAGAACATTAAACTGTCATAAGTATTTTTATACATTATGTTTGTGGCAAGATGGAGTTAGTAATTACATAGGAATTTTTCAATAGGATGACAGCATATCTTGTTTTCTAAAGTCTGTATTTCTAAATTCAGGTATTTGAATTAAAAGGTTAAGTTGCTGTCTGTTACATGAGGCATTGCATTGTTACTAAAAAACAAATTTTTATAGTTAAAAATTTACTGTTTTCCTAAGTTAGTTTCTTTTTTTTCTGACATCATTAATGCCTTCATTAGTTTATTGCAGTGCCTAATAGTGTATAGTCAATTTAACATAAGTTTGTATTTTCTTTTTATCTTTGTTAGGAATTTTAATTTAGAGTGTAATTTCTCAGAACATTCTCTCCAGGAAGAACTTTACAGTATTTAAAGGCTTCACTGACTTCTTGATCCTGTATAATAAGCCCAAGGTAAATAACACTCATTTCTTGTGGTTTTCAGTTTTGACTGACTTGATTCAATGTGCTCAATTTTGACTGATTAAATATGCTCAAGTGATTAACTGCTCAAGCTTTTTGGGGGGAGTAACTTATATGAAGTCAGATTTTAAGTTAGCTTTAGGAAAAAGATTCTTTTCATCTCTCCTGCTTCTAGGTGGTATATCTGCTTCTTCACTTCTGTAAACACCTCTGCTAAGACTCAGAACATAACAGAGCCATTTTAAAACAAGACAAACGGCCCTGCTACTTAATCCATCTTCCCTAATGCAAACAAGAGGAGTTTCATAACTTAACTTTTTTCTCTACTTTGGTTTTTAAGGTAATTAAAGTTAATTCCTAATTATGTGCAAACACTGTATTACATGAATTATGTGTATTAACTTACGTAGTCCTTTACAACTCTTTGAAGTGGATGCTGTAGTTTTTCTTTCACTTTATAATTGAATGTGAAGCTCAAAGATTAAGGAATTGTGGAAGGCACACAAGGAAGTATCTTAGCCTGGATTTGAACCAGGTAGTTTAAATGCAGAGGCTATATTTTTAACTTCTTTTAGCCAACTAAATTTAGAGGAGGGCAAGAAAATCAATCCAAATTTCTTTTGAACTGGTATGGTTTTGTTTTGTTTTGCCTATTTCTGAGACAGGTTTTTGCTGTGTAGACTAGGCTAACCTTGAACCTATCGTATAGCCCCGTGTAGCCTCAAATTCACTCAATCCTTCTGCATCAGCATTTTGAGTAAAGTATGGTTATAGTCATGCTTTCTGTGTGTCTTTTTTTTTTTTTAAAGCCAAACCAGGTGTGGTGGTACATGCTTGTAATTCAGCTGCTTGGGAGGCAGAAGCGGCGGAAGGATTGTAAATTTGAGGTCAGCTGGGCAGTTGAGGGAGATGTGTCTGAGAATAAAACAAAAAAGCTCAGTGTTTTCTGGGTTCCATCCCCAGTATTCTGCAACAAAACTCAAACTTTTTAATGGAAAATAAACTTGCTAGGTTCTGGGAAATGCATGCATTCAAGTTATTTCTGAGATATTTACTATGTTCAGATGCTGCAAGTTTGTAATGTCCAGCAGAGATGACATTGCATTAAAGCATCCTTGTAAATTTTCAGTTTGACTAGTCCATCGTTAATGATGCCATCTATATTTTTAAAAGTACCCGTAGTCTTGGGTACAGAGTACATTTTCTTAGCCAAGACTGAGTCTTCATTTTTTATTTCACATCAACTGAGATGTTCAGTGCTGGAAAAGCCTATAAAGTTCCTGAATCATTTAACAGAAATTTCCATTGAAAAAAATGCAAAAAACCTCAAGGGCTAAGATCAGAGATTCTGGTTCTTAATAAGTGAGAAATATTCTCTAATACTATGGAAATGGATCTTGTCTTATTGCTGGGATCTCCAAAATCATATGCAGCTCTGGTTTTGTTTTTTTAGAGTATTTATAATTGTCTTAGGGGAAGAAAATCAGTTTTTTGAAATTAAGGTTAATCAAAATTGAGTATAAATTACATATAGGTGCCCTTTAAAAAGTTTGAGTGCACTACAATATTTTGAAATCAAATACCAATCAAGAGTCAGTTTTCAGTGATCTAGATTCCTTAGAGATTTTGTATGGTTGCTGCTCAGTTTCACTATGTTGTTGAAATTACAAGATTTGCCAAACCAAATTTAACTTAACGTTCGTTCCACTGGGTGTGGAATATCTGCCAATGCTGAATTTGTTCGCTAAGTGTTGTGGAATTCTTAATTCCACCATTTTGAACCTTGAACCTGCATTTTTTTATTTTTGTCTTTATATATTTCTTGCTTACTTGGGATTGAGATGATGATGAGAATAGAAGGAAAAAGGTGATAGAGAATTCTATTTTTAAAAAAGTATCTGAATGTCTTGAAATTTTCATTTGTATTCTTTGAAGAGGCAGTATTCAGACATTATCATTACTACCATAATTCATCACAAAATACTGTTGTAAAACTGAGCAAAAAGATTTGGTTAAGTGAGTAAGTGCTTTCAGATATTTGGTTGTAGGAGATAAGATTTAAATGCATGAAAATGACAGGATGTTAGAAGGTAAGTTGATCTTTTTATGGAAATGATTAGTAGTAAGTCAAAATTTAGAAACAGTTACACAGTTGATCTTGAGCAACGCAGGTTTAAATTTCTTGAGTATACTTTATATGGATGATTTTTGGAAATTAGTGACAATTTTTAAAAAGTACGTCATACATGTATAAAATACATATAGACAATAGGCCACCTTTTCCTGCCAAATATTGGGAATTGAACCTAGCACATTTACAATGAACTATGTCTCTAAAACTTCATTTTTTATGCTTTTTAATTTTTTTTTTTTTTTTTTTTTTTTGGCGGAACTGCGAATTGAACTCAGGCCTTTGCGCTTGCCAGGCAAGCACTTATTCTACTGAGCTATCTCCCCGGCCCCTCATTTTTAATGTTGAGAAAGAGTTGCTAAGCCACTAGGTGGCTCAGGTTGGGCTTGAATTTGTGATTCTTCTCTCACAATCTCTTGAGTTTTGGGATTATAGGCATGCATTATAGATATGCCTGCCCCACCAGACCTGGCTAGACAAGTCTAGTATCATTTACCATGTACACAAAGCTATGAAAACTTAAATCAGTATACACTTACTGTACATGGCTTCATTTTAATTAAAAGTATAAAGTATCAAATCATACTTGCATAAAATTAAATATAGTAATAATATTTTAGTTTCATAAACATCTGTTATTGTGATAAGCTCAAGTGTTGGGAATATTCATTTGATACTAATATGTGATACTAATATGTGATACATATTTCCATGTATGCAGTTTGTTTCTAGTAAGTTTCATATTGTATATTTTTTACTTATGTGTGTGTTGTTAGTATTATTGGTGAGGCTTCTGGTCAGCAGCAGGCTACTGTCATGTATATATATTTTTTAATTTATGTATTTGGTACAGTGTCTCTACACAGCTTGGACTTAGTTATCTTCCTGTTTTCAGCCTCCTAAGTGCTTAGATTACAGGCCCCATGCCCAGTCTTGGTGGCTGGCTCAGTGAGGCTAGGGGTGGGGCCAGCGCTGCATGTGGTGCTGAGGATCAAACCCCAGTCCCTGTGCTTGCCTAAGCAGGTGCTTAGTCTGCTAAGCTATCTTGCCAGCCTACAATGCATGTTTTTGAATACGTATGGGTCAGTGCCCTTAACCCTTGAGGATTAACTATCTGTACACAGCAGAAATAAACTTAGGAGGCTCAGACTTAAGATTCATTGAAAGGGTGGTATTTGGAATGTATGGAGTGATTTGCCATATGTATAAGGCATATGTGTATTACATATACATCATATCTGTTACTGATTGCTGTATGTTGAATGAAGTCTAAGTATTAATACCGTGGTACCCCTGTTTAAAGATTGCAGTAATCTCCCCAGTTTTTTTCATCTTCTTACTGGAAAAACCACAGGGTAAACTAGGTATCGTCCCATAAGTTCATTCTTACCTTGCAGTCATGAGTACTAGTACAAGAGCCACGGCTTCAGCTGTAAAGACTTAGTGACCTTTAGTCTATTAGGAAACTATCCAGTACCACTCAGCCAGTATTGTATTTATGGAGTGGTCAGTTTCGTCTCATTTCAAGGCCATAAAGTAGTTGATGTCAGTTTGGTAGATTTATTATCATGCCACTTTTTCTTAGTTTCAGTTTTTTTTTTATTTTTATTTTTTTGTCTTTTAATATTTTGAAATCATTTATCTTTTTTTACAGAAGAGGCAGGTATTTGTCTTGGGCATGGGATAGACTCTTAACTTGCTGTAGTCTCAATATTGTTTTTTCTGTCTTCTGTGAGCTACTGTATTTTTTAATTGAGACACGTAGGTGGGATAGTCCATACAACTATTCTGTTTTGTCCGTAATATACAGCACCTGTCATGCAGGTGAAAGCAGTGCCAGTAAGGGACAGTGTTTTTCTAAATGGCTCCTTTGAAAAGAACAAGAATATTCATAAAATTTAATTTGTATATGAACATAAGTAAATGTGAAACTTGAATTGTGTTATGACTTTAATATTTGCTTTTTGACTAGGAGAAAAGAAATGGGTCGCTCCAATTCTAGATCACATTCTTCAAGATCAAAGTCTAGATCACAGTCCAGTTCTCGATCAAGATCAAGATCACATTCTAGAAAGAAGAGATACAGGTGAATTATTGTGCTTCTGATTCTTTTAATAATAGTTATATTAGGTGATATTTATTGAATGATTGCTATATCCGTACAGAAGCTTATTAGTAAATTTCATTCTTAAATGATCTTATGAAAATGGATCTATTACCATTTTAGAGTTTTAAAAATTGAAAATAGGCCAAGTTACAAGCTAATAAATGTCACATCTTAGGTTTAAATGCAGACATTTCTTGTATGTTCCTGTAGGATAGTTGCTAAATGAGTCGGTCACTAAATGAGGAATTGTATATATTATGTACGTTACAGTATTGAGAACAAAGAAGTGAAGGGAAATTCCAACTTGATGACTTTGCTATTATTTGCCTCTTTCATACAGTACTGTAATATACAACATAAGACTAGTTCTATTGTGCAATCAGCAAAAATACATAAGCAAGATGTACTGTATCAAAGATACTGAGGTTCTCTAAACAAGGTGTACCAGACGGTAAAGAACAAGAGGTGGGTTCTAAATCTGAACAAATATTAAGTAGGTTGTTAAATGAGGAATATCTATAGTGAGTTGATCCTTTAAAAAGTATCAATTCTGGTTTTCTTTAGTGATAGATAATACAACACAGAAAGTAGAAACCACACAAAAATTTTAAAAGGTGATCCATTTAGAGTAATACTACTTTCTGATCTTTCTGTGTTTTTTTTTTTAGGCCTAACTTTGCTGACTACCTTTCTCCATATTTATAGTACAAAGTGGCAGTCCATTAAGTTATCTTTTACAGTGTCACTTTTAGTGCCAGCCTAGGTGTACTGTAATGTAGTGTATTGGGATTGTATTATCTCCCCCATGTTTTCTTTGCCTTTGTTCCTAAGGCCTTTAATTTATGCTGTTAATATTTTCCTTAGCAATTAAAAAAAAACAAAACTTTAAACTTGTATGCATGAGATTTTTTAAAAAAATTATACATTTCTGCCTTTGGTAATTTTTGTTACCTTCATCCAGAAGTATTTATGTGGTAGGATGAAACACTTTATTTTTCTTACATTGATATTTATTTCATTTTTAGTTCTAGGTCTCGTTCCAGGACATACTCAAGATCTCGTAGTAGAGATCGTATTTATTCTAGAGATTATCGTCGAGATTACAGAAATAATAGAGGAATGAGACGACCTTATGGGTACAGAGGAAGGGGTAGAGGGTATTACCAAGGAGGAGGAGGTAGATATCATCGAGGTGGTTATAGACCTGTCTGGAATAGAAGGCACTCTAGGAGTCCTAGACGAGGTCGTTCACGTTCCAGGAGTCCAAAAAGAAGATCAGTTTCTTCTCAAAGATCCCGAAGCAGATCTCGTCGGTCATATAGATCCTCTAGATCTCCAAGATCATCCTCATCTCGCTCTTCATCCCCATATAGCAAATCTCCTGTCTCTAAAAGACGAGGATCTCAGGAAAAACAAACCAAAAAACCTGAAGGGGAACCCCAAGAAGAGAGTCCTTTAAAAAGTAAATCACAAGAAGAAACAAAGGATACATTTGAACATGATCCATCTGAATCTATTGATGAATTTAATAAATCAGCCACATCAGGTGATATATGGCCTGGCCTTTCTGCTTATGATAATAGTCCCAGATCACCCCATAGTCCTTCACCTATTGCTACACCACCTAGTCAGAGTTCATCATGCTCTGATGCCCCCATGCTTAGTACAGTCCACTCTGCAAAAAATACCCCCTCTCAGCATTCACATTCCATTCAGCATAGTCCTGAAAGATCTGGTTCTGGTTCAATTGGAAATGGATCTAGTCGCTACAGTCCTTCTCAAAATAGTCCAATTCATCATATCCCTTCACGAAGAAGCCCTGCAAAGACAATCACACCACAGAATGCTCCAAGAGATGAGTCTAGGGGACGTTCTTCGTTTTACCCTGATGGAGGAGATCAGGAAACTGCAAAGACTGGGAAGTTCCTCAAAAGGTAAGAACCAGAATACAGAATTTAGATCAAAGTATTCCAATTCAGTGTGTAATTAAACTAAATTATAATATGTGTAGTTTTTCATGACTTCCTGCTTCATGAGGTAATTACAAGTTGTTACATATGGTATTGTTGAAAGTTAAGTGTTTTGATAGAAACGAATTTGTTTTTGCTTTTTTTTTAATTCAGTTCAGGATGCAGTTGAGGACAAATTAAGTAGTATTAGGGAAAACTGATACATTAAGAACCATGCAAGCTAGAAATTAGAGAACCAATTGAAAGTTTCTTTTATTATTAGAATATGATCTACATAAAGCATTTATATTATACATTCTTATGTAGTATAAACAGTTTGTCATTGTTTAATAAATTCTGCCTAACTTTAGAAGAGCTATTTCTGACTCCAGTAGTTTAATAGTTAACTACTGAGAATTGCTAATGAATTTATTGAAAATTGGTTACTACTGTATGAATTGCCTTACAAAGTGAGAAAATGGAGTCAAAATACATTTGTGTTGTACAACCTATAATTGATTTTCTATTAAATTAATAGAAAAGCTCCTGTTATTGCCAGATTTCTAGAGTTCTTATTTTACGATTCAGATAGAGTATTAAATAACATGTTAACAGTTGTATTAAGTTCATTTGTGTGAGCTTGTTTTATATTGTTAAAAAGTAAGCAGAATAGCCTAGATTTTTGAGATGATTATGAGTAGCAACACATATCCTCTGTTTTAGTGGTTTTTGTCTGCAAAAGTTAAATTAAGTCTGTGTTGTATATTACAGGATTTCTGTATAAATTTATTTGTTGGTGCACTGTTGTGGGGTGTGACCAAATAGAATATGTGTTAAGGATGGCTTTATTTTTAAACTTCAGGGAGTCTAATACATGACTTTGTCTTAAAAATCAGTGTGTAAGTCCTGTATATGGATACTTTCTATAATTTTTAGAAGCGGACTCTGAAGAGGTAGGGTTATTTTCTCTCATTGCTGGTCCTGTGATAATGTCAGCACATTTCCTTAAGTATGTAGGTGATCTACAGTGAATGCAATCTAGAGTTACTATCCTTTGCTTATTCACAGGTTCACAGATGAAGAATCTAGAGTGTTCCTGCTCGATAGGGGTAATACCAGGGATAAAGAAGCTCCAAAGGAGAAAGGATCAGAGAAAGGGAGGGCAGAGGGAGAATGGGAAGACCAGGAAGCTCTAGATTACTTCAGTGATAAAGAGTCTGGAAAACAGAAGTTTAATGATTCAGAAGGGGATGACACAGAGGAGACAGAGGATTATAGACAATTCAGGAAGTCAGTCCTTGCAGATCAGGGTAAAAATTTTACTACTGCATCTCATCGGAATACTGAGGATGAAGGAACCAAGTACAAGTCCAAAGTTTCGTTGAAAGGCAATAGAGAAAGTGATGGATTTAGAGAAGAAAAAAATTACAAACTCAAAGAGACTGGCTACGTAGTAGAAAGGCCAAGCACTGCAAAAGACAAGCACAAGGAAGAAGACAAAAGTTCTGAAAGAATAACAGTAAAGAAAGAAACACAGTCACCTGAGCAGGTAAAGTCTGAAAAGCTCAAAGACCTCTTTGATTACAGTCCCCCTCTACACAAGAATTTGGATGCACGAGAGAAGTCTACCTTCAGAGAGGAGAGTCCCCTTAGGATCAAAATGATAGCAAGTGATTCTCACCGTCCTGAAGTCAAACTCAAAATGGCACCTGTTCCTCTTGATGATTCTAACAGGTAATTCCATATTGACAGTAAGTAACCTGTGGGCAGTTAATATTACAGTTAATTATTTTCTTAACATGCTTATATTCACATTCAAACCAATGGTGTATTTTGTTTGTGTGTGTTACTGATATATTCCAGACCAGCCTCCCTGACTAAAGACAGGCTGCTTGCTAGTACACTTGTCCATTCTGTCAAGAAGGAGCAAGAATTCCGATCCATCTTTGACCACATTAAGTTGCCTCAGGCCAGCAAAAGCACTTCAGAGTCGTTTATACAACACATTGTGTCCTTGGTTCATCATGTTAAAGGTATGCTTAATATGTTTAGTATTGTTATTAAATTTCTCTTGCATGAAATAAATGGATATTTAGGCTTAATACTAGTGTACTCCACGGCTGACAGGTGTGCGCTAATACTATGAAGAATTTGGAAAAATTGGTGGGTCACCAGTTTTCCTAGCATTGAGACTCATGAAGATATTTAATAAATGACCAAAATATTAGTTATGTTCTAAACGACTGTCTTCTTAAAGTATAAAGTGAATTTATTTAGTGTTAAAAGTCTTTAAAAATGTGCCATTACAGTGTTTGACATGAAGAATGCTTAAATATTATATTACAGCGTTTGCTTGTGACTTGTGATAATGTACAGTAGGCGTAGTTTTATAACAGAAGAAAGGCAGTGTTACTGCCAGTCAGTTTTGGTTTAGTATTTAAGGAAATCTGAAACTAGTGAAAAACCTCTTCAATGTCTTTACTGCTACTTTGTTATAAAATTTGATAAATGAAAAGAAAATTTATTAGGCTTGTTAAAGGGAGAAAGTCTAAGAAATTTAAAAGCATAATGGATAGTGATTACATGAATAGTTACAAACTAGGATAATAGAACACTTCTTCATCTAAATAGTGATTTTCTGTTTTCACCGGTATGTAATTGTAGTTCCATAGTTGCTACCAGTAATTTTCAATGGTTTTAGAGTATGGTGTTTTGGGCAATTAGGTTAAATTTTGTTTTTGTGTTTAATAGATTCTTTACTAGGTAGGAACCTTCATGGCTGTTTGGTCTTAAGCTTTTTTAAAGTTTGTTATAAAAACAACTCATAAAAGCTGAAACTAGCAATTCCTTTTGTGTGTGATAGGTCAAAACAGTGAATAATTTCTTTTTAGCTATAATTAAACATGGTAACAAGAATTTTGCTGTTTTGCTTTACATTTGTAAACTAGTTTGTGACCATATTACTGTGGTACATAAAATAGGAAATATTAACATTTTTCATTTTTCCACCCTTTTTTGACTTGTCTTAACATTTTAAAATTTACTGCTGAATTTTGCGATCACATTTTGATAATTTTTTCTTTTTTCATATCCTTTTTCCTTTTTTAAAAGAACTGTAGTTATGTTTCATAATTGGTATTGTGCAACGGATCTAAACAGCTCTTTCTTAACATAGAGCTGAAAATGCCCAGTGATGTTTTCTTTTTCATTGTAACTAGGTCCTGGAATATGTTTTGAAATGGCAAAATCCATGTTTCAAAGTAAAATAGCTGTTGAAAGATACAGGCAAAGTTGAATCTCCTGTCTTCCTGGCAAAAATGGCATAAAAACTGAGTTGCTAGATCAAATTCCTGGGTTTCATGGAATTAAGATTGAGGCACTACCCTTGTAGTGGCCATTTCAAGTTTTAATGATTGGTTATGAGACATGTGCTGGATATTGGGCGGTAAGTTGACACAGATGTATGTTGACCTGTTAAGCAGATAGCTTGCTTCATAATGTAACATTTCATAGTTCATGACTTTATATGTCTTACATATACAGCGTATCTTGAAGTGGTTTAAAAACATCAGCAGTAATAGTAATTTTAAAGTTCTTTAAAGGCAGGCAAGATGATATCAAATGTGTTGTCAGGTGTGCCAAGATGCCAGTTTTGGGGTAATTAGTGAATGTAAATTGATTTAAATATATTTTTCCAGTTGAATGGGAGTGTTAATTTTTTACTTAACACCATCTTTTGATAATGTCAATATAGTTCTTGATGAAATAATTCTTTTTTTTCTCAATCCATCTTTGTAGGTAGTTATGTATATTTTGTTTTCTGTTCATGATTACCTGAAGTAGCTTCCTTCATTTATCAGTTTGCAAGGCATAAGGACATCCATATGTTGTTTCTTTTTGTTTGAGGAAATAGTGCATTAGAATAGAATTAAGACTCTTGATTTAATATGTAGTTCTTAGATTATATGTACTACTGACGGACCTGTGAAGAAGTTGAGATCACTCATTTGTTGAGATACAGGAGGTTAATAAGGAAAGGGTAGGAGTTTTTTGTAACACTTGATTCTCTTCTGCTAGGTTCCTTGAGTATTTATTTTCTTCTCACCTGCTACACCCTTCTGTCACAATTGAAAATCCCCTCTTAAAGTAAAGATTCCTAACTCGGCAGTATTTCTCCTAAATCAACAGAGCAATACTTCAAATCACCTGCAGTGACCCTAAACGAGCGGTTCACTTCATATCAGAAAGCCACTGAAGAACATAGTACCCGGCAAAAGAGCCCTGAGATACACAGGTATGTGTCATGTGCTGAATTTTGAAATAAATACGTTTTGGTAGGAAGAAACTCCCAAGATTTATAAAGGAAGTATACTATCATTAGGATACAAGTAAACCAATTTTCTTCCTTGTTTATATTCAGAAAAATATTTCTAAGTCTTAAAAAAGTTCATAGTTTACTTGGTCCAAATTTATCATTAGAAATTAAAATACTTTTAACCACTTTGCACGTTTTTTTCTGAGAGGGAGGGAAGTGGAGACCTGAAGTAATCCTTGAATTTACTAAGATTGTGAAATAAAAATGCCTGGTGTTGACTGAGAGTGTAGCTCAGTGGTAGAATGCTTGCCTTCCAGCCCTGCATTGAACTGCAGGTGCAACAAAAATCAAATACCTGGTGAGAGGTAAAACTTCCATGGCAAGAAGAGCGCAAATGTTGAAGTCAAGATAATTTTATAGTATAGTAATTCTGGATTTGTCACTTTGTTGTATTATGAGGAACGTTATATAATTATTAGCAGTTTTTATCTGCAGAATAGAGATCATGCGTGGTTTGCAGAATAGTGGTGACAATTAGTGATACTGGTTATAAAGTATCTTAACTCAGTGCTTAATACTCATTTGGTATGGTCTTGGCAGTGACTGCTAAAGAAGCAGTAGGAATTTGCAATTGATGTTAGCTTGAAAGAGGGAAAGGTGCACAGTAGAAGTATGCACTAGAATATGCACTCTGTAGGAGGTAGTAATTGTGTTCAGGGAGGTTATTGCTGTATTGAAATTACATGATGAGTGGTTGGGGAGATGGCACAGTAGAATAAGCCTGATGAGTTCAATCCCTAGTTCTGCCCAAAAAAAGGAAAATTACATGATGATAAACTCAAACTGCTGTAGTATCCAATCAAAACATGACTTTTTTTTTTTTTTTTTTGCTCCGAATGCCCTCAGGGGTGGTTTGGCTGGCTGGAGTGTTGTGGGGATCGAACTATAGCAACCTGAGGCTGACAGCTTTGTGGAGGCAGCCACTCAAAACAACTGAGCTAAGGCCCAGGCCCCATAAGGGTTTTTTTTTTTTTTTTGTTCCTCGAATGCCTTCAGGGCACTTTTGGCCAGCAGGAGAGTTGTGATTGAACTCCAGCAACCTGAGGCTGACAACTTTGTGGAAGCAGCCACTTAAAGGACTGAGCTAGGGCCAGGGCCCCAAAACATGACTATTTTTGCTGACTGAAATGAGTGTATATATCTTTGACGCATTTCAGTTTTTTTTTTTTTTTGTTTTTGTTTTTGAACTGGGGATTGAACTCAGGCCCTTGCACTTGCCACGGAAGCTCTTATTCTACTGAGCCATTTCTCCAGCCCCTTAATACCTATTTTGCAATGAGGTAGATTTGCAAATGGGATTTTCAAAAGTTAGCAAAGAGTGGCAGGGGGGATGGCTCAGTAGAATAAGTGCTTCCCTGGCAAGCGCAAGGGTCTGGGTTTAATCCCCACTTCTGCCAAAAAAAAAAAA